GATTCGGGGCCGATAGGGGTAGCAGCCACCTGTTTCAGGTCCATAGGACTTAGGTACCCTGCCAGCAGATCAAACCTCCAGGCTCGAGTTATACCATCAATCCACTTGTCAACCATGGAATCATCGGGTCATTCGAATTCAAGCAATCGACCTGGTCTATCAAACCTCCATGGATCTTGGAACATCCTTGTCGCCTTACCATTGCCAATCACCCTTATGATGCCCTGTGCACCTTGCCGACTTGGTACCATGTTAAGGGGCCATTAATCTTACCTTAGGACTAAGTCTCCATATGGGCCCCTAAGAGGCTCGATACCAAGTCCTTATCAAATTGACATCATTAGCTCAGCATCTTGGTCGACCAGCCCCTGCCACCAAGATTTCATACTAAGTCTTGAGAATATAGGGATGGTCATGATGACTTGGTACCCTGTCGGGTGGCCACCTCAACTAGCCACCTTGTCACCTCCTCATCAGGTTGGCACCCTGCCAGTTTGATGTTAATACTTTTTTTTATGGTTAAGATGTTTATACTTAGTTTTTGAGAGATTTGGTAACTTGATACCATGTATGTCTTGTGTCATCTTGGTATCCAAACGTAGCTTTTTGACGACTCTCTTAGTTTGTACCCCGTCTTGGTACCCTGTTCCCTGGCCACCAAGCCAGTCTAGCCGGCTTGGTATCCTCTTGGCTCCATACTTAGCCAAATTTCATGTCTTGGTATCAAGCCCGCCTTGCCGACTTGGTACCTTTTTGGCTCCATACTTAGCCAATTTTTATCTCTTAGTACCAACTACCAAGCCTACCTTGTTGGCTTGATACCTTCTTGGATCCATACTTAGCCAAATTTCATGTCTACCAAGCATGCATTGTTAGCTAGGTACCCCCTTGGTGTATTGGTATCAGGCCTGCCTTGCCAGCTTGGTACTCTATCGCCTTGCTACCAAACTTGTCTTGCCGGCTTGGTACCCTCTTGCCGGGTTACCTAGCTAGTCTTACCTTGGTATCGATACTGAGCCATATTTCATATCTCATTACCAAGCCTGTCTTGTTTGGTACCCTGTTGCCTTGCAACCAAACCTATCTTGTTAACATGGTATCCTCTTGGCTCTAGACTTAGCCAAATTTCATATCTTGGTACCAAGCCCGCCTTGCCAGCTTTGTACCCTATTGGCTTCATACTTAGCCAAATTTCATGTCGTGGTACCAAGTTGTTATAAACGTGCTGCTACGGATCGGGAAATCGCTGGAATCGACAAAGCAAGAATACGAAAGCGAGAATCGAAAACACGACACACAATTTACGTGGTTCACTAACACGATGTGTGTTAGCTAGTCACGGGCGAGAGAGAGCCAGTTTCACTATATCGAGGAGATTCCATATTACAGAGGAGATGAGAAGTATTTATACTTCTCCATGTGGGTCTAAACCTAATCCAATATGGAAAAGGAAACGGTTACAGACCAGGCCCAGACCCCCGACTAATCCAGTCGTAGCGGCTGATAGTCTGATTCAAGTCACATCAACACAAGCCTTCTTTGTCGGCCTGGTACCCTATTGACTTTATACTTAGCCAAATTTCATGCCTTGGTACTATGCATGTCTTGCCAGCTTGGTACCCTCTTGGCTCCATACTTACCCAAATTTTATGTCTTGGTACCAAGCTTATCTTGTCGGCCTAGTACCCTCTTGGCTCCATACTTAGCCAATTTTCATGTTTTGGTACCAAGCATGCCTTGCCGGCTTGGTACCCTCTTGGCTCCATACTTAGCCAATTTTCATGTCTTGGTACCAAGCATGCCTTGTCGGCTTGTTACCCTCTTGGCTCCATACTTATCCAAATTTCATGTCTTGATACCAGGCATGCATTGCTGGCCTGATACCCTTTTGGCTCCATACTTAGCCAAATTTCTTATCTTAGTACCAAGTCATGTCTCCCCGGCTTTGCACCCTCTTGACTAACTACCAAGTATGCTTTGTTTCCAAAACTCAGTTTTTTATGCCAAATTTCTTATCTTAGTACCAAGTCATGTCTCCCCGGCTTTGCACCCTCTTGACTAACTACCAAGTATGCTTTGTTTCCAAAACTCAGTTTTTTATAATCAAATTTCATACCAACTGACTTGTTACAAGGGAAAGTTGACATCAATTATGGAGGTCATAGGAACGATCGACTAACTAGGCCAGGGAGAAGGAGCTTAGCCACTTATGGCGACCTGAGACAAAGAGAAGGGTCTATCTATTTTATTTAGTTATTCAGTTAAACCAATGCCAATGATTCGTTATTGGAGCAGATAGCAACAACCACCATTTCATCCGACATACGTCTTTTTTATTTTCCAATGGATTTCCACCTTTCATTAATGGAAATTTTCTGATGTAGTGGGCAATAGCTCTAGTTGCTCGCTGTGTAGGCTAATGAAAATACATATTCCAAAGAATGAATTTCTAAGTCTAAATCAAATTAAGAATATTTTTTAATGCTAACTTAAATGAAAAAAAAATGAAAATAACTTCAACCGCGATGCATCTAAGTCCTTTCTCAATTAAATAAATTTTCCCTCAATGGATGTATAAAATCTGAGAAAGTGTGTACCAATCTTGTGGGTCGAAGTGGCAAGCCATTTTTTCAATGAGGAATAAGTTGACTCTACCCTATTGGTGCTCGTGTTACCAATATGAAAACATGATTGGTATAGCAATGAGCCCACCTCCGCGCATATGGTATCCACTCACCTCTCAAGTAGTCCATCAATGATCCAATTGTACCCCCAATGACCACTTTGCACCTCTAGCTGGTGCCTTTGGAACTGTGCCTCTATTTTGGCATGCAAGACTCTCCCCCATGGACCTGCTACAAATGTCTCGGTTGTATCTTTACTCATCTTGAAATACATCATTTTGGCTTCAATGTTCCTCTTCTTGTGCCAAATGCATAATAAATAAGCCGAAGATGGAAAGATCTCGCGCAAAAAGATACCCAATACTCCCTCCTTATCCATGATGAATGCATATGGATATGGTATTCGATCACCAAGAAGAATCTTAAGTTGCATAAAAACCGATGCATATTTCTCTTTCTTATCATTTGAAAACAAAGCAAACCCAATGTTGAAGTTCTTCTTCATTGGAGTAACACGAATCATCTTAATCAATGAATTCTTGTAATTGTTGGTTCTGTACGTCGAGTCTCTCAAAATAACGAAATACCATGCAATCAACATCTGAATCGACTCATGATGACAAAGGAAGAGATAAGTAACACGAAGCTCATTATCAAATTCACACTCAACCAAGTATCTAAGACATTAAGCTTCTATCAATGTCCATTGCATAGGTTTCATGCCACCCAATTCATCACGCCTAATCTTTGTTGTCTCATTATAAATCTGACTCATATTGTGGCGAGCATCGTACTTCATATTTATAAAACTCCTCATTTCCCTTATTTGAGTATGTGTTGCCTCCATTTCCCTAATATCTCATTTTCCGCCTTTGAAAGAAAATTCCTTAGCTTGCTTCCTTTGTCATCGTGAAATCCTTTTGAAGGACCAGGATTAATTTTGTCCACAAGACCAAAAATTCTCCACTTGTACTTGTCATCTGTTTTGCGGACCATACTCCACTTGGAAATGACAACCTAACTTACTTGATTTGGATTTTTTTCCTTCTTGTCTTCTCCGAATCCAGGGTTATGATTTGCTCCTATAGCCATGTTTGAAATCCATATATATACGCGACTTTTTTCTCTCCATGATTTTGTTTGATCAATCCCACAACCAAGAAAAACCTATTATGTTAGGGAATCTCCTTTGTTGGTGTACAAGCTTTGTCGTGGGTATCATAAACATCATCGCTTATGAACAATGATGTGTAATCAACATTGTCACCCTCATCATCTCTATAACCTCCGTACAAAAAATATAACTATATCTATCATTGATCAAACATGTTAATTTGATGTTTCAATAAATAAACCTATCAAACAACAAATGATGGAGTACTTAATTACCGAATCACTAATAACAAACTCCTTGTTATTTGATGGTGGTTGCAAAACCGCAAAAGAGTATGTAACTTCTACAACTTTGTCTCCCCTAAAGACCACAACAAAACAATCACTTCTAGCAAACATAAATAGTATAATAACTTTGGTAATTTTTCGTAAAAAAAAATTGTTTGAAATCCCACATGATCTTATCGAGACATGTTCATAATCTGACCCAGTCGTCGATCGTACGAGGTGAAAAATCTGACTTGACCGTTGTTCAGTTAGGTTGAAATTCTGATCCGGGTTGAAAACTCTTCCATACCATAGGGGCGGATTTAGGGCATGTCTAGCGGGACGGCGGGGCGGGCTTCTACCCGTCTGTTTCATGGCTGAGCCGAGATTTCAACTCGTCCGATCCATGGCCAGACCGAGTTTTGAACCCGTTCGGTTTGATTTTTCAGAAAAAATTCTAAAATCTCGCCTTCTTTTGGAGCACCTGACTACGATGGCTACCGAGATAGACTAAAGTTGTGACTCCAACGACCTCGACGGAATCCGAAGAATACTCAACGATGAAGAAGAGTGTTGTTGGTTTTTGTAATGTGTTGTGTTTTGATTTTAGTTTTTTTGTTGATTTTTGTGTTCTATAGGAAAGAAAGTGTTTCAAATGTGTTGGGTTTTAAGATTTAAGGCTTTTGAACACAATGGTAAGTAGCCCTTGGTAAATCAACCAAAGTAGATGGCCACGTAGCCTTTCTTCCATTTGAATCATCACACCAAAATTAGAGATTTAGTCTAGACGCACCTTGCATTTAAATATTTTTCGTTCTAGTGAACAAATTTTTTTTTGACGTGCGTGCATGGAGATTCAACCCCGATGGTAAATTCAAGTTCCGGTCGGCATACGAGCTCACCGATACTGCAGCGGCGCCGAACTAGGGACACCAGGCATGGCGATCGGTGTGGAAGGCACCGACATTGCAACGCGTGCGAACCTTTTTGTGGCTGATGAACCAAGGGCGTCTTCTCACTAACGCGGAGAGAGCACGAAGACACCTCACAAGTGATACGAATTGCAAGATTTGCGGCGGAGGACCGGAGACGACCCTGCACGTTGTCAGAGACTGCCCCTTTGCCCGAGCAACGTGGGCGGATCTGCTGGAGGACGAGCCGGATTCGAGATTTTTCGAGCAGGATGGCCAGAGGTGGAGCCTATATTATCTTTCAGGGAAGAGCAACACCATTGATGCTACTATTTTTGCAGGAACCTGTTGGCTGTTGTGGAAGAACCAGAATGACTTCGTGTTCCAGGACAAGTTGAAAACCCATACACAAGTCCAGTTCCACTCAAAACAGCTCCGGGACGAGATCATTAAAGCTTTCGACCAGGAGAAAACAGTTTTCGGGACTGGGGGCACCCGAGAGCAGCGCCTCGTTGGCTGGCAACCACCGGCGCAGGACTGGGTCTGTGTTAACACTGACGGCTCAGTCAATCATTCTCCGGAGAGCACTTCTTGTGGCGGCATCATACGGAGGAGTGATGGCCGCTTCATCAGAGCATTCACTGCGAACCTGGGGAGAGGCTCTATCACTCGTGCGGAGCTGGCTGGTATTGTGTATGGGTTGGATCTTGCTTGGGAGCAAGGAGTCAGGAAAGTTCTTCTACAAACAGACTCAGCAACTGCAAAATCCCTGATTGAGAACGCAACCGAGCAGCATATTCACTTCTCACAGATAAGCGAGATCAGGCGGATACTACAGCGAGACTGGACAGTTCGGATTGATCATATATTCCGCGAAGCTAACTTTGCTGCGGATCACCTTGCCTCTATAGGCCACTCGAATTCGGTAGGAGTCCATGTAATGGATAGACCGTGCACTTCTTTGCTGTATTGGCTGTTTTTTGACCGGGTGGAAATTGAAACCCCCCGTTTTGTTAGTTCGTAATTAAGGATTGGGCGCCCTAAGCGTCCAGTTTTCACCAAAAAAAAAAAAAAAAATTTTAAATATTACTTGCACAAAAAGGCATCTAAATTATGGATCGAACTGTGAAGCATTTGTTTCGTAATTGGCAAGCAAATTTCCCCTGTTGGTCGCTCGTGTTACAAAGTAAACTAAAGAAGGAAATTCTGAAGCCGAACCATAGTAAAGTAGAGTCTTGCTGTACACTCCTAGGTTATAGAATATATATATATATATAAACAACCCAAATTAGTCTTGGTAGAATCTCTTGGTGATGTACCGATGTTGAAGTACGCCTAGGGCAGCTGATAATATCTAGAGCTCCAAATTGCTGTTAGCTGTCTGTCTGTCTGTCTCTACTTTCCTTTGGGACAAGAAGGGTTGGTGAGTTCTATTCATTATATCATTCCTTCGCCTCAATTCCACTTACCCTCTCCCACGCTCTCCTAGTCCGACCTTCTCGATCGCCTCTTAAGTCTTAACCCTTCTTTCGCTCTCACAACATACCTCGAAATTTCTCACCAACAAGCTAGGAAGCTCCCTTCGCTCCGTCGTCCTCAGATTACATGATATGGTACGTACAATTTACATACTTGCAATGTACATGCACGATTACGTGTACAATTCGCTACTAGCCAGCTTATAGGGGGTGAGGATGGAGTAGACTAATAGTAGTATCGTAACCTAGGCGTTCACGTTGGATGCAATGCACGAATTGGCATCCCTTTTTGTCTATGAATATCGACTTAGTTGGTCTCTCACCATGTCGTTCGTGATACAGAATTTGAGATTATGGCTTGGTTGCTTATGTAGTAATGTTCCGTTCCTTTCTTTTGGCTTTGAAGTCTATTGCGGGGCCATTGGTGTTGAGGACACTAGCCGGAGGGCTCGAACCGCTGGTGTGCAGACCAGTTTGCTCCATCACGACGCTGCTGCACTACAGCCATTTGCTTCCGAGAAACCTGGACCGGTTGAGCCGCTTCGTCCGGCCCGAGTTGCTGGTTCGAGGCAACCCTTTGTTCCTCTTTATCATCAATCTCCTGCGCTGTTTCTGGTCCTAATATATTATTAGCGGAGGCGCGGAGATTTTATTAGTTGGCACCAGTTCTTAACAACGCTAATATAAAAGTTATAACACCGTTTGCAGAATATCATCAATGTGTAGTATACTAATTCTTTTCCGTCCTATTAACAACCCAATCACCTGAAAAATCATCACAAAGAATCAAACCGAAGTGTGCAAATCCCTCTCTGTCAACAGTCTTCACTCTTCAAGCAGCAACCGTCTCTCTTAACGACTCATAATTCGGTTCCGTTATTACCATCCAATTTCGAAAGCAACTAAATGAGCAAAATAGTAAAGCCCAATTGATGCAGGAAGCGAATGTGTACGAAGAATAAGAAAAAACATTTAAGCAGCAAATGATGAACTCATTCTGTAAGCTAACCTTGCCAATTCATCGATTCAGGCAGTTGATCAAAAGCTGGCCCAGAAGGCTTATCATTGGTGACGAGAAGAGTTTTCATTACCGGATCTGAGAAGATGAACACAGCAAGCCGGAAGCATCAGCCCCAACAACAGCAAGATCACAGACTGCACATATCTGCGCCTCTTGGGCTGGAACAAACCGGGCAGAGCAATAAGGGCAAGAAACGTCCTTTTGTCCTCTGTATATGGGAACATAAGTAGCACCACACACCACAAACGGGTTCCGGAAATCGTAGCTCAGTTGAGTAGCATCCGTCATGTTCCTCTCCGAAGCCTGAAGCACTTGTCTGGCCGTCTTCGCTTGATTCTCAACCTGCGGGTTAGTCTCCAACAGACGCCTGGCAAAGTTAGCAGCAGTGACGAAGTTCTTGGCTTTGTAGCAGATAGTCATTGCATTGAGCAAGGCCAGTCTCAGGTGAGGGGTTTGAAGGTTGCAATGTGTGAAGTAGGCGGCAAGTTCCTGCTGACGAACCGGGTCGCTCTTCATTTCCCTTCTCTTGAGTTCCATCTGTAGCCCCTGAACGTATTCCTTCACTATGATGATCAACTCTTTGACCTCATCGACCTCTCTCCTTGTCTCCACGACAATGAGAGGGATCGTATGAAGAATACCGATGAAGAGTTTCAGAGCTTCGGTGAACTTCCCAGCTGTGGTGGCTTTGTAACCAGCCTTGAGCTTCTCTTCCAACTGACTAAAACTGAATACGAGTGCTGGAGGTGCCCGTACGTTGGGGGCTCCCGACTCGTTCCACCGTTCAACAGCCAGCGATATGACAGAAGTAGCCGAGACCGCACGTAGATACGTCTGGCTTCCGGAGTGAAGATCGAGGAACATGGATTTCAACGGAGAGAAATTTTTTATTCCGAGTTGCCTATGGAGCAATCTCATAGCGGTGTCAAAATTGCCAGCTGCCACATGTTCAGCAGCAAGTGATGACTTCTGGATCCATATCTGGCTCACAGGCATTCCAGGAGATGGAGCCACGAAAACTGTAGAGCGAGTAGCGAGAGAAGCTCTAGGGGTATCTGCTTCTTGAGGAAGATCCAAGTCCTCAAGGTCCCATCCTCCTTCCTCATCATTGTCTCCTTCCGCTTCAGCGCCCTCCAAAACAGCAGTAACATCACCGTTCTGGAAGTCCTCCGCATCAACCATTTCAAGTTCCTCGCCCCAATCACCATCAGCCGCTTCCTCATCATCCTCTGCTGTCCCTCTAGCCATATTCTCTAGGCCACCTTCGAATATACCTCTCATAACTCTCAGAAGAGGCCAATCACCAGAACATGATATGGGGGATGGAGGCATGAGAAGGGATGGCACTTTACCCTCTGGCAAAGATGGAATGTTATCTCCCAAATCAGCAGCTAGGCGCTCAGCTACTTCCTCCAGACCATGGACTTTAGCCGTGATGTATGCCAAGGGGATATGACCAGTGTTTTCCAGTATCTTTACTCGCTCCTGGATGTCACCTAAGTACAGGGCGTTATGAAACTGGCCCATGACATCATTCTTGACCTCAGCAATTTTCAACATCTTTGACAGCTTGTCTAGATTTCCAGTAATCAGATACAAGAAAGACAACCGCTCGAAATTCTTTGTTCGCTGATATGCATATTCAACGATACCTGCATTGCCCTGGCGAAGGGCTTCCACTCCGAGCCTGTACCAATGCTCTTTCTCGTCGATTTCCTTAGCTGAAGCAACAGCGATTTGGATGTTCCCGCTCTCAAGAGCCAAATTGAATCTCGTTCTTTCATCCTTGACAAAATGCAAAGCAACTTCAGGGAATCCCTTCTGCTGCAGATAAGCAATCATTGCCTGACCGCAAAGCTGCGAGTTTCTGATCATGCTCATGACGTGATCAAATCTCTTCTTCAGAAGAGAGAGTTTAAACATGTACTCTGTTGCATCAATGATCATAGCCCTATTCTTTCCATCCCTATCCAGGCAAAAGATTGTATTCCCAGAAATCTTAGTGATGTATATTGGGACCTCAAGGGTTTTGATTATGCCACTATCTCCATTCGGAAGGCAGTATTTCATATGATTTAGAGTAGAGTATATGAAAACACCATTGTCATCCCAGGCTCCACTCTTCACGCGGATTGTTTCATGAAGGGTGCATTGATGCGTAAGCTTCTTATTTGCAATAACAATAGCATGCTTGCTCAACAAGGCAACAGAATCCATTTCATTAGACCAAACGACGTACTTCACAAAAGGTGTAGGAAGCTCCCCAATTACAAGTCTCTGCTGAAGATCAAATATGACAACTCTATCTTCAGCCCTGCAAAGCACATTACCAGTTCCGGCATAGAAAATAGCATCTGTAGCAATGGGAAGGCCACTCTTTTTGACCACCTCATTCTTTAGGTTCTTGACCAACACTTGATTGGTACTTTTGTCAAGCACAGCAAACCTGTTTCTTGCAATGAATACAGCTGAACCCCCTCCACCTCTCTTTGCTTCCTGAACTGTATCGCCCCTGGACATGGTATCCTTGTGTACTATATACAGCTCATAAGACCCTCCATCCACATCTGAGCATAACAGAACCGCATTTTCAGTAGGGCTGTAAGAAAGAGTTCTCGGACTCTGATTCAAGCTGGTGCTACCAGGTCGCCTTATAGGAATCACCTGGGTTTCCCTCTGAGTGGAATACTCAAAAAACCTCAAAAACCGATCCTTTGTGTAAAACAGAGAGTCTCCACTCACAGCAAATGCAGGCCTTTCTCTCTCCAACTTGAACACTATCATGCCACTGTCATGGCCAGCAGCAAGAAGATTCATATCAGGGTGAGCTGCAAGGATCCAAAAGCGGTCATGCTCACGGCGGAAAGTCTGAAGTCCAGTTCTCTTAGTGACATCCCAAACTCGAATACTTTTATCCTCTGAATTAGATACGATTATATCTTGCTTGGCATGGAACATAACACTTGAAACATTGTTCATGTGTCCTCTCAAAGTGTCCACTTCCCATGCTTTTGTATCTGAAATGAATATAGAAGAAACAAAAAAATCATTCCCTAAGTAGCTCAAGACCCTCCACAGGCATACCACATTAGATATTACAAATCTCATTGTATAAGCCATTTTCAGATTAAGGGTTGAGGAATTAATATATACAAGATAAAACACAGAAGTACTCAATGCTACAGTAGCTTCAACAACGCGACATATCGTTCAATTATAACCAAAAGAATACACACAACATACCATTCATCCGCCACAACTTTACTTGGCGATCATCTGCTCCTGAGACAATCAAAGGAAGAGTAGGATGGAATGCAGCCCAATTCACTCCTCTGTCATGACCTTCCAAGACATACTTAACAACTGCATCAACACCACCAAAGAGATCTCCATTCAACTGACTCAAACGCAGGATATCATCAGCAGGAGATACAGTTTTCTTTCTCAGAGCAGCAGTGTCCCAGACACGGACAGTCTGATCCAGGGAAGCAGACACAACAAGATCTTCTTTAGGGTGGAATGAAGCGCACATAACATAATGATTATGGCCTGTCAGCACTGAAATGCAAGTGCGAGACTGCCAATTCCAGATGCGAATCGTCTGATCATCACTGGCACTCACAATCCATGGGTACTCATGATGAAACTGCACCGTGCGGATGTAATCGAGGTGACCCAGAAGGGTAAAGAGACACCTATGCAGCTTATAGTTCCAAACTTTGATCTTGTAGTCGTCGCCTGGAAAGAAATCATTTACATACACTCAAGCATTGGTCAAAGGTCAGAGAAAGAATGCAGAGCAGCAACATGAGTCTGTGTTGAAACAATTCCATTATTGAAACAAGTTGGTGTCACTACATAATGGTCTAGTGCCTATCTTTTTAGATCGACTCTTCTCTTAGTACTCAATAGAGGTGAAGTGCATGAAGAGATGAAAAGAAATATCATGAAATACGAAGGCAGGCACTTACATCTAAAACAACAAGGAAAATTAAACATCAACTAGAATTCCCGTAGACTAAGAATAACTTTAGTAGAAGTGCTTAAAATATAACATGCAACAGCTAGCTAGATACAAATACAACAAATGAAACAAGTACGAACTAAAATAGGTAATTCAGGTAAGTAAAGTGCTTCTATTGTAGATCAAGAATAGTCCCAAAATTAAGAAGGCCTTCATCAAGGAATCCAGAGCCGCCAACCAAAATATGTTCACCACAACTTCTACTTAAGAATGAAATTATCATAGCTAACCTCATTCTCAAATTGTAGTAGCACAAATTTGACACCAAAGACTCAAACCTTCAATGCTTATTAATACATTAACCACTTGCCATCCCCTGGGCGAAAACTAACAGAAGAATCCACGAAATGACATATTCATTAAATCCAATCAATCATCCTATTGAAATTGAGTAACTATAGATGCATATTATTCCTGTTGAAGATTTCAGCAATACTACAACATTGACCAGCAAACTGAATGAACTTTCAATCAACATGAAACGAGATTGCCTACCTCCTGACACAAAAAGAGGCTGAGATTTGTGGAAATGGACGCCTCGCACGGGGCCATCATGCTCGTCGAAGCGATCAATCAGAGTCCCCATACGGTAGTCCCAGAGTTGGATCACACCACTGTGAAGACTGGCAAGAATCCATGGCCTCTTAGTGTGGAAACTCAGTCCCTTCACTCTGTTACTCTTTGTTTCGAATTTCGTCAACATCTCCTCCCAGCCAAATCAAACAAATCTAAAAAGATAAAAACACAAAAGCCACAGTGTTACTACGCTGATGCACAGCTGACCGCAGATCACAACCACGGAACAGAGGAGTTGCCAAAATTACACAATAGTGAAAATTCTCCATTTCCAACCGAATTCACATGTATAACCTAATGAAAATTCCAGGTCACACATTCAAATCCGAATGGAGCACCAATGCCGCACCGTACCACCGACCTCAGCCATGTCAAACGAAATTGACGAATAGTAACACTACGCCGAACGAGATTTACAGAGAGAGAGAGAGAGAGAGAGCGCGCAAGGGAAGTACCTTAGATCTGTTCTTCGGTATACATGCGGATCCACGAGAGAGGAGCAGAAAATGATCGCAGCCAAAACAGGCAAAAGCCACAGGGAGAAAGCGAACAGAGTGATGGGAATGTACGTATTGCTTTAGTCTCGCTTCAGCGAAAGAGAGAAGCCGTGGATCAAGAATAGGACGAGAGATGCATTGAAGGAACGAAGAAGGGGGAGGAGTGCATAGGAAGGGGGGAAAAATGTTTCCGTTTCAGTTCGTCGGTGTGTCCTTAGATCTATGCAGGATTATATGCCGGTACAGGGCGAGCCGCAGAGTGTTCTGATGTTTTTCTTCTTCGTGTGAGCTATCATTTATTTATTTATTTTCTTCTTTTTTTATGCTTAACGAGTAATTTAGGTGGACGATTGCGGGCTGGCTAAGGCTTTAATCGAGATGGGCTGAGGCCTTCTGGTGGGGAGGCCCATCCGATCTACCGATTCGGTGGTGTCATTTACTGGGCCAGAAGCTGGAGATTGGGCCACCGATGTGTTGTTAATTTGAGATAGTTTGAGTATGGTAGTACACAAATTATATTTGTTCCTCTACAATTTATACAAGCACGATTATCATTGTCGTCTTATCATATTTTAGTAAATAATATAAGATCAATAACTAAAGATATTTCAATAAGTCGAGTTATTGGATCAACTGATTCTTTATAATATTAATGTGTTTTTGACTTATTATCTTATCGTGCATGTTGAAATGTGGAGTAGCAGGGGCGGAGCTAGGATCTAGAGATCGGGGGGGCCGAACTTTTTTTATAGTATCCGTCAAAATGTTCTAAAAATATAAATAATAATAATAATAATAAGAAATAATAATTCATTCATTATAGAAACCCAAACAGTATGGTCTATTCAAAATAAATAGTAAATGACCAGCATACTTCATCTTTAATTATCTGGTTTGAACTTTAAAATTAGAAAATAATAAATGATTGTGTTAAGCATGTAGACTGTAACGTGACTTTTGTTATGGTCTCTTAGAGAACTAAGGAAAATGATTGTTTTTAGCAACTTCAATGTTGCCCTAATGTTGAAATGATTCGTTCTATGTTGTTGAAATGCACGATTCAGCGGAATTTTCGTTCGCCTAAGCGCGAAATCCCAATTTTTTATTCGACATTTGGATGAAAATTGTAGACGAAGGAAAAAGTGGTTCGGGAAATAAATAATACACTACTAGATGGCTATGCAAGGAAAGGAAGGCAAACAAACAACTCCAACTTAGCAAGGAAGGCTGTGGTGGGGAATGGGATAGTGATATGTTGGCCTGGCCACAGCTGTGGGCTGTGGCTTAGTAAAGTTAAGCCTAGCACGATTGGAAAGCCAATCTTCCTTTTCTTTGCTGTTTCTTAATGGATAAAGCAAATAAAGAGGTTCGCCATTTATACCAAAAAAAAAAGAGGTTCGCCACCTTTGCTTTTCGCCACCTGGGATTTTCGTTTTCCATGTGGCTATGCCCTGGTTCTCAATGCTCAAGTCAGAGGCCTAACTGCCTAATTCCCACTTGTTTAGTGGGTTTTGGTTTCTTCTCAAAATGTTCTTTCTCTGTGACAGTTGTTGGCTGCCATAAAGATGCAATTATCTACTCCACAAAAAAGGATTTAATTTATGTGTTAAGTTCGTTTCGCAAGATTTACAACATTTGTACAAGAAAGACCACCTTCTATTTTCAAGGTCAATTCTGGCTAGCAAAGATCTATATGGAAGTTCAGAGTGCAGGCGGCCAAGTCCTTATTCTTTCTTTGTTGGCTCAATTTGACCAACTGCAACGGATTTTCACCCAAAATGTTAAGAGTTATTACCCAAAAAGAAAAAAATACAACAATACCACACTTGAACTAAATTTTGTCAAGATACTAGATTTCGGGACTGGTTCGCTTGATACACTAGCGGAACATAATGTGGTTTGCTGAAACATGAAACAATTAAAGTGGATACCCTAAATAAAAGCGAACCACTAGTTGTTCGATTGAAATTAAAGAGACCATCTGGCTTGAGTTGGAGACATACAATTGGTTCAGACTGATTGACGCATATTGCTCCAGACAAGCGTGATGAACGACACGTGGCACCGGATCGCTCAGCTGAGAGGCGGAAGTTCCAGAGTGGAGAGAAGATGAATAGGAAAGTTATTATATTAGGGTTTGAGGAAATATTGACTAAACTATCCTCCAATTAATTCTACCTTATGATTAATATTTCAATCTAAAAGGTTGTTATAATAGTAAGTGAGCATGGCCCTAACTGCTTAGAGAGGTTAACGCATACTCTCATTCCTCCAGAGGTGGAAATATGGGAATGAGATCAGATGCTAACTCACTCGAGCACTTCTACTATGGTTTAAAGCATTGATGTTTTTAATGTACAATTTGAATTTGTATCATAACATTAAATGTACAAATTCAGGTTGTACCATAAGGGAATTTGTACATTTATGTTATGGTACAACTTGTACAACTTTAAGTTGTACCATAAGATAAATGTACAAATTCAGGTTGTACCATAAAGGGACTTGTACAAAAAAATATAGGTACAACGAAGTCCTATAATGTTAAAAGTACAACTTTGAGTTATACCATAAAGGCAGAAAACTAAATCACCAATGTTTTAAATCATAGTAAAATACTAAAATTTCTCAACCCACTAAAGGGTTATTACAGTGATAACTATGTTTATAACGTTTAGTTTAAGAAGTCTATCCATGTTTGAGGGTTGTCAATCGACAAACCTTAGTTTAAATGTGACCAAATTAGTATGTTAAAATTCATATTATTGTGCAGTATTTGAAGTCTCTACCATTTGAGATCCTTTCCAATTTCAAATTGAACTTTACATCAAAATAGGTCTCTTTGTTGTGATACCCAAATTAATTCCTAAATCCAACTAACTTTCCTTAATCAAGCATCTTAATTAATTCTCCTTTTGCACTTTGTTGGAGGTTAAAAACTTCGGCTGATACCCCAAATTCCCCATTATAGTTTATCAAGAGTACAAAAATCTTGTGCATATTTATATGAGCTCCATGGAGCGGGATCGACGGTGGAGTGGTTGAAGAAGGCTAGAGAAGGCGGGGAGGAAAGGTTTGTAGAGTGGAGTGTGTTGCTATGGTTTCTCTGGAAAGAGTGTAATGCTCAATTATTCAATGGACTGAAGACGGCGGAAGAGGAGATTGTGGTGAGGGCGAAGTACTTTTTGATGATTACCGTCAACATCAAGAGAAGGGATTGCTAGTCTAGCCACCTCCATGTGTGAAGAAGTGGCGCAAGCCGCCGAGAGGTCGAGTGATGGTTAACACAAACGTCGGGGTGCTACAAGAAGGAGGGATAAGCCTTGGGGTGGTGATGGAGACGAGAATGGGACATCTATCCTTGCAGCAGTGAAGATGGTACAGGGAAGTACACACCGGACATGGCTGAAGAGATGGCTTTGGAGATGGGAGCTCAGCTGGCACAACAATTTTACATCCAAAATCCAGTTATGGCGACGGATTGTTTGCAGCTGGGTTGACAAAGCAATCTCATTCCACTTCGCAGATAGGGGTGGTTTGCAGAAAAAATGAGAATGGTGGAAGAGCGGTAAGGGAGTTTTTCTCATGTGTACAAGTAGGTAAATGAAGCTGCTCATACCATGGCACATGCACAAACAAGATGGGATGAGAGGGTGGTTTGACTTGATAGACCGCCAATGTATTTAGTTGATCAGATTAAACTGGATGATGCAGCAGCAAACTCTAATCAATGAATTGATTACAGGTTTCTGTAAAAAAAATAGAGTACAAAAATCTCAATTTTGGTGTGCAATCCTTCCTTTTGACTTCCTCCCTCGTCTTCTTTTATCGCCAACAGCCACATGCGTTGACATGACCATTTTCAACAATGAAATTCGTCAAAAATGATCATTGAAATCATATATGATACCAATATATTTTTTTATTTTTATTTTTATTTTTCAGTGAATACCCTTTGTGAAATTTCTAGGTCCGCCACATGAACCCGCCTCCATCATTCATCGCTCTTCCTCCCTCTCCTTCTCTCTTCATCCACATAACTTCGCGCCATCGTCACTTCATTCTTTCCACCAAGGGCTGGGCACATCAAACCGTCGTCCGCTCCGACAATGGTGTTTCCATATAATATGTGAACATGCGTTGATTCAACCATTTCGTACCGCTAAACCTGCCTATTATTTAGAGTCCAACGCCTGTATTTCCGGTCCAGCCCGGGTTTCTAAAACATTGGTCAGCTCCATGGATGGAAATGGATCGGGTTGGGACGGGACTAGTTATGCACACAAAAAAACCTCAAACTCATGGGTTTATCCACACAAAAAAAGGGTAAAACCCACTAAATTTGCAAAACTCAAACCCAACCCAACCCGCTGGGTATCCGCGGGTTCACGGGTACCCATGAGTTTGTGTACAAAGATGCAATTACACTAATTTTCACTACTATTGTATACTACATATACACTAACTCAAAAATCATTCATACTAATTGTTCAATATTAAAGATAAACATCAACAAACAATGTGATTAATTGAACGTGTGAGTAATTAGTTTAAAATTATAGTTAATTAGTTAAGAGTTTCATGGGTCGTGGGGGTATAGACTTTGGTGCGGGTAACCATGGATTGGATATGACTAAACCCAAACTCAATCCAATCCGCAAAAAGTATAACGGGTTTAAACTCGAACACGACTCACAATTTGTCAAAACGAATTTTACCCGCATGGACCGAGTTGAATCGGGTAGCGTACCCGCATATTCAGGTTCTAGTTTCATCCCTCATTAGCAATAATGGCAAAATATGCAATAATGCAAACGTATATTTTCGGTTAAGGCCGTTGTGCATGCCAGCTAAGCTATATCTGCTAAACGGAACCAGCTAAGCTAGCTGAGCAACAAAAACGCCCACCGTATCCCCACCACACAATCAGCTAACTTGCGGCTTAAGTATCCAAATACAGTTAGCGGAATTTCATGTTCATCATAATTCATAAGAATTCTTTTCATTGATAAATGATATTCCTTCCCCCACCTCCCTTTTCTTCTTCTCTCTCGCTTTTAAATCTAGACTTTGACCTTACAAATTCTCCCAATACATCTGCACTAGAGCGCTAATAAATTACTTAGTTCAACGTACAAGTTAATTACGATCCTTCATCCATCCCATGTAATTAAGGAATATAAGAACGGTGAGATGTATAATTAGGTGAATTTCGATTAAAAAGGTTCTCTAGAGTACGAATTATCGTGTTCATGTAGACCGCTCTGAGTGACTTATCCGATATCTTAATTATAAAAAAGAAGGAAAATTATACAACACGTCTATTAATTATATGCTTTGGCAGAGTGCTTTTGGAAGGGATTAGACAGTTAACTAATGTTTCTACAAATGTTTTGCCATTTACTATTTTTCGTAAACACGACAAATCAGAAAGGAGGAATGAGTCAAAACAAATAAACAAGGCTGTCCAAGTCCTAGAAAGAAGTTGACCTGCTTCAATGAAACATGGATCCACATTCTGTGCACACAGAATGACCGAGATGATAGAAATGGTGACATTTCTTTCTTTCTTAGGCTGCTTGTTCTCGTCAAGTTGACTTCTTCCTTCCACTAATCATAATTACTAATTACAGACCAATTGAGAAAGTCCCCAAGAGAAAAATTAGAAACTCCCAAGAATATTAAGCTTTGTCTTCATAACTTGATCGGATGTTGATCTAAAAAATTTATTGGTTTACGGTTAAGCGGTCAAAAGTTGATATAGAACCGTTGATAGAATCGTTTAACACGAAAGACATATATAATATACCAATTTAGAATTGAATGTATCACTAAATCATAAACAATTTTAAATACATATTTTCCATGACCAAAACTTACATAAAATCATTCAAATGATTTCACGAAAGAAATAAAAAAACTATTTTATTAAATATAAGTTAGTAATTATCGTGACAACTCGTAGTGGATCACATAAATTACAAAGAGACTGAAAAATGAAGAACTTGAAGCATAAATAAAGTTAGTAAATCAGGTTGGATGATCTTAATTTACTTTAAAATATTCTTTTTTTTTTAATTTTTAGTGGTTAAAATAGTGGACCAGTTAAATAGGGATTGTTCACCTAATTTTTATGTCAAACCGTTAAAACTCTTCGGTCAATTTCTAACCGTCCAAACAAATAATACTAATCGGTATGGTAATTGGTTTGTAGTTCCAGTGGTCTAGTCTCTCATCCGTGTTCGATTTTTACAATGCTGCTATTAATTAAGTATTAACATGTACAACACGCATAATTTGAATTTGTGAAGTATTGATCACCACTGAATTTTTTATAGTTATAATTGTTCTTTCCCCTATAAATAAAAAAAAATTTGGTTGATCGGGTAAAGGTGATTGTGTCAATATACAGCTGGTAGATAACCGAATTGAATCCCAGAATTAGAACACAAATCCCGGGAAAAACTTAAAAACATGTAGAAAACACAAACTCGTAATTAAAAACACAAAAAAAAAAACATGCAAATAAAAATAGAATTCTTGTAATTTCTGGATCACTTTCTCATACATTCCTACACGCGAACCAGGAACTGAGAATTTTAGTTTTTAGAGGGGGAAGTTGAACCAAATCAAATGTATTTTTATTAGTTTTTTTTACTCAATCCCGACTTCTCTTCTGTCTCCCTTCGTCAACACCTTCCAGCTACGGCGCGCCAATTTCCTCTATTTTCCGGCTATAATATTATACCAACAATTCTTATTTTAGTTTTGGAATAAATTGGCACCAAAAAAACAAAGAACAGAAAAGCCTGCTGAGCTTCCGCCGGGTTCTCTGCCTCTCACTGAACCACTGCAAATTCTATTTTGGTTCCCTCTCTGTAATTCCATCGTTTCATAAAAAAAAACCCAATTCTTTCTTTCTTCTCTTGGGTTAGTTTCTCTTCCCCGCGCGCGCTCCATTTGCGTTCTTCTCCTTCGCCTAAGGTTGCCAGCTTTCTTCTGTTCCATTGCCAGCTTGCCCCCATCACGGAATTGTTTGATTCCTTTGATTTCTTGCGGTAAATAGCCAAAAATCCCTCTGCTTCTTAATCTTTCTCTGCTCCGTTCTTTGCTTCTTGGGTTTCCGAAACAGAGATTCCCGTTTTTACCTGCTCAATTGGGTTTCTCTGGGTATCTTTCTTTCCCTCTCGCTGTACGGTTATATAATACGGAGGAGGGCGTGTTTTGTGTTCTTAGGAAACCCAGAGATTGAAACGTCGAGAGAGAACGGAAAAGGGAAGAGGCGAAAGTTAGCCGAGGAATCTGTTTCGTCGTCGTCGTTGTCGCCATTTCGGTTCTGCCCCTGACTCTCTGGTCTGCGGATCCCTTTTATCCGGCTGGAAAAGGGTCTGCAGATCGGGAAAATGTTTGATAGCTTGACCAAATCCAAATTCTACACAAAATGGTGAGTTTCTTTTCCCCCCTCTTTGGGTTTGGTTTAGAAAATTGCTCTGTTTTCTCTTTTCATAACTCGACATGGTGGTGGAAATTGTAGCAAGTCATTGACAAAAATGACCAAGGTGAGGCTGGACGCCACCAGGAAGAAGAAGAACGCCGTCGCCAAATACCTCAAGAACGACATCGCCGACCTTCTCAGGACTGGCCTTGATTCCAATGCTTATGGCAGAGTAAGCCAAATTCCTTTTCATTCTCGTCTCTTTTTATCTGGGTTTCCTTCCGTTTCTTCTGGGTTGATTCGTTGATGGGTCTTCTTCAGGCTGATGGGCTAATAGTTGAGCAAAACATGATAGCTGCTTACAAGCTAATGGAAGAATTCTGCGAATGCATATTAACTAATCTTGCAGCCTTGGACAAACAAAAGTAGGCACAAATTCGTAGGTTCTATCCCATTTTGGATGTTTTGCTTTTGTCTGTGACTGAAGTTTGGGAATTTTGTTCGTCTAGGGAATGCCCTAAGGAATGCAGAGAGGCTATACAATCTCTGATGTATGCTGCAGCATGGTTGGCAGAGTTCCCCGAACTCCGTGATCTTCGTTCTCTTTTCGCACAGAGATATGGTGATTATCTTGAATTATTCCTTAACAAAGAGGTTTGTTAATTCATTCTCTCCTTTCATACTATTGTCAAGTTTTGTCTTTCCTACGGAACATAATGGCCTAGAATGTTGCTCAACAGTTTTCTGAGCTGCTGAATCCAAAGCCTGCTTCTAAGGAGATGAAGCTTCAGCTGCTTCGTGACGTCGCACAAGAATTTTCAATCAAATGGGATTCAAAGTTCTTAGAACAGAAGCTTTTTAGACCTCCTCATTCTCCTTCTTTCCACAGACATGATGAAGGAGCTACCCATACTGCTCAAGACGTTGGCCATAAAGTGAAGATCAACGATGCTCCTAGTCCTAGGAAAGACCAAGATATTCACCGTGAAAGCAAAAATAGGCATCGGGAGGACGGCAAGAGAAACAACCATGGATCGACAGCAACAGCAGAAGTTGCAAGTTCTCCTAGAAGGAAGGATGTGGTTGATGGTTATAGGCACAACAGGCCGCATATTAGCGAGAGTGAGAGCACCAGAGATCAAGATATACACCGTGACCGCAAATATAAACACAAAGAAGTTGGCACGAGGGAAAGCCATGGGTCAGCAGCAGTAAAAGCAGAAGTTGCAGGTGCTCCTAGAAGGAAGGATGTGGTTGATGATAGGCACAACAGATTGCGTATGAACAGCCAGAGTGATAGCACCACAGACCATGATAGCTCGAAGCAGCCTAGTTCAACCACCATTGGAACTTCAACTACTAGTGCTTCTGAGGATGAAGTGGACAGCAGCAAGAAGCCCTACTACAGGTTTATCCCTCCACCTTACGTCAGGGCTCAGGTTGAGAAGAAGGAAGATGTCAAGATCGCTGAAGAGTCTCCAAATTCGAGATCTACTGCTGGTGCTGGTGCTGGTGACAAAGAGAGTGAATCACAACCTACGAAGCCAAGATCTGTTCGAAGAAGGCAGCAGATGAAGCAGTTGGTTGTTGGTGATGACAGTGTGGAGAGTCCATTGAAGCTGCCACCAGGTAGGTCATATTTTGGCAGTGTTGATTCAAGTGATGGAGTTTTTGGGGGAAGCAATAATAAGGGGACCTTGTGGAACTATGCAGAAGAGGAAGAAGAGGAGAGGAAGTTGGATGAATTGTTGATGAAGCACAGCAAGAAGAGGGCAAGTTATGAAAGGGGCAGCAGCAACAACAACAATATGAAGAGTAATAATAAGCTGAAGCCTCTTTCATGGCGTTCGAGGGATGAGAGTGGCAAGGATGCAGCTCCAGGTTCAGCACCACCGTTTGGCAAGTCGGCATCTTCTACTACTGCTGACGATTCAGCAGCTGCAGCAAGTAGTTCGAGCGGTGGGGGAATAGGAGGAAGGCATGGAAGGTCTCTATCGGCTGAGTCATCGGCAGATGTTTGTAAATCAAAACATGTGCACCCTAATCTACCTGACTATGATCTGCTGGCTGCTCGGATTGCAGCTTTCATGAGAAAGTGACGAAGAAACTTGCAAGGTTAAAATGAATGAAGATATTGGAGTTGTGCGTTTTTAGCTTACATTTACTACTAATTGCTGGAAAGAAGAACAAAATCAAGCATCTACTACAAAAGAAAAGTCGTCTTTTAGAAGTTTCCAGTTGTAGGAGAAGATAATTTGGTAGTTTGTTCTGGGTTTATGGTTGCTTTTCATTTGTTGATTTGTTGAACTCTACACTACACTGTAAACATGCATCATATTAAACACAGAATATATCAATGTTATATTAGTCATAACACTTTCGATTAATTAGTTACATGAATGACGCTGAAACATCTAGTCTAAGAGTTCCCACAATGCAGTAGGATCTAAAGTCAGGTCATGAGAGAACAGATCATCGACATTAAAATCGTCATGCCCTTGTACCGTTGCTGAATTGGGAAGACCGAATGCTCGAGCTTGAAGATCCATTCCATCTTGGTTGCTCCTCGACATTGCGACTTGATTAAGCTCTCGACTCTGGTACGCTTGACGATTCATCTCATCTTGGTTGCTCATCAACATTGTAACTTGATGAACCTCTTGATTCTGATACGTAAATTCCCCAGCATTGGAAAGACCAAACCCTTGAGCTTGAAGATTCATCTCATCTTGGTTGCTCCTCAACATTTCAACTTGATGAAGCTCTGGATTCTGGTATGTAAATTCCCCAGCGTTGTTGACGAACGGTGCATTGTCAGACATCCCATTCCCAGTAGCAAAACCGGAATACAATTCTGCAGGTTCAGTTTCATGTTGGTGAGACCAAACCCACAAATCATTGCTCTCCGAATTCGTGGAATTGTTGATTTCAGCCGGTCTCTGTTTCTGATTCCATGAACTAGACTCCCCTAAGCCAGTAGTCCGCCCCAGTTTCGGCTCGACTAAATCCCTCAACTTGGATTCCGCTTTCTCCTTGGCCTTCCGCAATACATCCAGCATTGTCTTCAAATCGTCACCCCTGTTCGCCATCTCGTCTAGCTCTCTACTGAATTCGTCCCAACATAATGCTGTATCATCCCCTTTCTCCGATTTCATCACAGGGGTTTCATCAGCCTGAATATCCATCAACAATGACAACCCTTTAACCCTCTTCTCCTTCTCTCCTTCCCAAGCATTACTGCATCGCTCGCCGCCACCATGGATTGCGAGATCGAGGACGGAATCGACGGAGGGGTAGCCCACGGATTCAAATTTCTCCGTTTTGCTAGGATAAGAGGCGAAAACAGCTACCTTAGCATCGCAGAGCAAGCTGAGCTCGGCGACCTTTTTGAGCAGTCCTCTCCGCCTTTTCGAGCATGTTGTTGATCTCTGCACCGGATTCTCACGCTTCTCCATTGGAAGCTTCCTGGGTTTTCCTCCCATGCTTGCTTGAGAAAATTGCAATGCCAACTACCGAATGGATTCTCAGAGTAGCCGGAAAATGAATGCCCTGCTTTGCTTGCCGTCATCTGGTTTATACTTTTTATATAGCCGCCGGAAAATGAAACAGGCAAAAAGCAAACGCCTTGGGTTTAAGCCTGTAAGGAAAAGTTTCCTCGTCTCCGGTGGAGACAGAAAGGAATCAAGGATTTTACATGTTATAGAAGGTTTCATGTTGCATTACATATAAAATGGGTAAATTAAAAATTTGGTCACTGGAAGTGCTAAAAAATTCACGTTTGTTTACTAAAAGTATTTTATTCCATTTGTGGTTACTTAAAGTGGTTAAACGTTTCACGTTTGGTCACTCTCCGTTAGTTTCCACTAAGTTTATCTGATGTGGTGGTCAACTCTAATAGTTGACCGTTAAATCAGTGACATGTCAATTAAAATATAAAAAAATAATTATTTTTCACCTCATCACTACAGTTATTAAAAATAGAAAGATATAATTCTTTTAATTTTTCACCACCCACGTTTCGGCATCATTATTCCATCCTCCCCTGTCCAACTCTGCCGCCTCTCACTGGGACCACCCATCGAGCGTTTGCAGCTCCGACGAAGGCTAGGCGAGGCCGAGCAAAATATAATTAGTTGCAGGTCCCGTACCCCGTCAATAGTGGTGGTGGATGCTTTAGTTCAACTCCATTGTTGGCTTCTCCATCGGCCCATGGCCGAATCGTCAATTAAGAAGAGGGTGCGGACCATGTAGATGTGAGGGGAGAGGGAAGGGCTGCTAAATTAGGGGTTTTAAGGTAAAAATTGGGGATTTTGAATTTTCTCGTAGCGATGACCCAGAAACAAACAACTTTGGAAAAAATGCATTCTTCTTCTTCTTCTACGTCCTCCTCATCCATCTGTCTGCACTCGAAGCTCCAGCTCCTCGCCGCGTCCGTCGCTTCTTTTCTCGGTCGCGTTGAATCCATGGGTAGTTTCTCAGCGATCTTCCACCCATGAGCTGGAAATCAGGTAAGTATGACATGGTGGCAGCAGAGGATGGAGATGGAGGCGGCCGTCACAAAGGTTCATGAATCGGGATCGAGGAGTTTGTGATGGGGGCGAAGAAGAAATACTCGGGTTCTTCGTGGTCGCCGCATTGGATGAAAAGCTTTTGGGCGAGAACGAAGTAGAGCGGGATGGTGGAGTTTGGAGGAAGAGGAGGCGAGGGCTGCAAACTCCAATTCCAGTTTTTGAATCGACGGGAAATTCCAAAAACCTAGTGACACGACGGCGACAATGCTAGGTCATTGATAATTGGTGGGTGGTGGAGGAAAATTTCAAAAATTATGTCCTTCTATTTTTTATAATTGTATTGATGCGATGGAAAAACAAAAATTAAAATTTTATTATATTTTAATCGCCACGTCGCGTAATTTAACGGTCAACTATCAGAGTTGACTGCCACATCAGATAAATTTAACGGTGACTAACGGAGAGTGACCAAACGTGAATGTTTAACCACTTCTAGTGACCACCAATGGAATAAAATACTTTTAGTGACTAAACGTGACTTTTTTAGCACTTCTAGTGACCAACCTTGAAATTTACCCTACATAAAATATAATAGGTATTTTATAATTTTTAACATATTGTAAGATTATATAACAGTTGTCAAGGTTATGAAGAAAGCTTTCCGTAATGTAGGGTTATTTTGCATAAAGAATATTAACATCGAATTACACGAAGTGTGAAGTCATTATGGAAGTTTTACGTAATATAATATTGTTGATTTAACTAATACATAAGAAATAACTATGGTTAGTAACTTTCACGTAATAGAATGTCTTTTTACACAATGAGTATTAACCTCGCGTTATGTAAAGTGCTAAGTCATTACGGAAGTGTTAATAAAGAATATTAACATCGAATTACACGAAGTGTAAAGTCATTATGGAAGTTTTACGTAATATAAAATTGTCGATTTAACTAATACATAAGAAATAACTATGATTAGTAACTTTTACGTAATAGAATGTCTTTTTACACAATTAATATTAACCTCGCGTTACGTAAAGTGCTAAGTCATTACGGAAACCTTATGTAACGCTTTCAATTTAATAGTTAGGTAAGAAATCAGTCCTAGTGAATCTATGAATCTGAGATGGAAAAGTTTCCTTATATACTGCAGAGACAGGAACACTTAATGAGAAAATATTGGTTTATTTAATTGTCTTTTATAGTCGCGGGGAAATGAATAGAATACTGGTTTATTTAATGCTCTAGTCTCCAAGCCGAAGGACAAATACTTTCTTTTTTTTATAGTGAAGAGCCAATCATCTGATACTCCTAGTAAATATGAGAATTCGAGATCGAAAAGTTTCCTTGTATACTATACTTTCTGATACTCCTAGTGAATATGGGAATTTGAGATGGAAAAGTTTCCTTATATACTGGTGACACATGAACACTTAATGAGAAAAAATTGGTTTATTTAATGGTTTTATAACCATAAAAAAATGAATAGAATACTAGTTTATTTAATGCTCATGTCTCCAAGTCGAAAGACAATCGCTTGCTTTTTTATAGTGAAGAGTCAATCATCTGATACTCCTAGTAAATCTGGGAATCTGAGATGAAAAAGTTTTTCGTATATACTCCACAGACAGGAACACCTAATTAAAAAATATTGATTTATTTAATGGTCTTTTATAGGCGCTGGAAAATGAATAGAATACTGATTTATTTAATGCTCTTATCTCCCAGTCGAAAGACAAACACTTTCTTTTTTATAGTGAAGAGCCAATCTCTGATACTCCTAGTGAATATGGGAATCTGAGATCGAAAAGTTTCTGTGTATACTGCAAAGAAACACTCGATGAGAAAATATTATAATATTGAATTCTTATCGAAAAGTTTCATGACTCCAAACTGCAGCATTTCAAAATTGCTGGCTATAGAGGCATTAACGGAAGGCTAATTTCGTCTTTCCGTCCCGTCATTAATGAAGTGCAGCGTTTCAGAAATCTATTAAATTCAGGCCTGCTTCCATTGGAGACAGTAACAGATAAGGGATTCCCTGACTTGGGCCTCAGATGGGCCAACATGGCAGCAGGCTATGCGTTTTGTCATTTCCCTGACTTGGGCCCCACTATTACATACTATGGGCCTCATTCTGTCGTCGCCAATCCAAAATTGCAACCGAGCAGAGTTTATGGAAAGATAAGTTTGCAGCCACTCCTCCACTCGACCGACAACTAATCGACAAATCCGATTCAAATCCATCAAATTCCGTCATCACCGTTCGCACAAAAAGTTGTTTTTACCTATTTTTTATATTTGTTTTCTGATTTAGATTGATTCAATTTATTATCTATATATTTTCATTACATACATTAATTTTGTACACATTTTGTAAAATCGTACGTTAGTTTACAACGAAAAGTTAGGGATTAGATATTGAGTATTGAAACCATAGTTCAATCATTTCATATCACTAAAACTGCCTACAAGCTTGGGTTCTAATAATACTTTTCCGGTCAGACCGTGGATACAATACAATTTTGTAAATACTAATTAAATTTTAAAATGTGGTAATCTACTAGAGTCTCTATGGAATGCACTTTCTTTTGTCGGTCAAATTTGCCTTCCCAACTCCTAAATTCATATGACCTTTTAGGTGATATTAATTGCAAGAACATTTGTATTTTCGTTTTAGCTCTACAAGCTAACTTTATCATATTTCAAATTGAATTTTGGGGTTAGTCATGTACCAATTAATTTTGAAGATGATTTTTTGGAACTATGAGGAGTAGGACTCCTTGACATATCGTGGCAAGGAAGCAACAATTTGTTGAATATGTTATCAAACTTTTCTCTAGATGCGAGATCTCAAAAGTCGG